TATTTTAGCTTTAATTGAAAGCTAAAGGATTTAAAATTTACTATTTCCAGTAAGCAAAATAGTCTGTGGTGTATTTCAAATAGAAACGATATTGATCGGAATCGATTTTTTTTTCAGTAAAATCGATTAAAATGGTCATTTTTGACACCTTTGTAAACCAAAGTTAATTTTTCGTTTTAAAAATCTTGCAAAAATAAAATATATATTTCTGAAACATTATCAGTGGAAAATTAGCGAATTTAAAGTTAAATTAATCTGATTTGAAACAAATATTACTTATAGCATAACATGTTGCATACAAACATTTCCTAAGGAGTCTTGTTTTTCTGAGGTGATAATCGATTTATTTACATTCGTATTCATAGTTAAGTATGGTGGAGCAGACGATGAAGTTTGTAGTTTTTTTTCGCCGTAAGGGGTAGGGGCAACGCTTAAAACACGTGGCTTTAAATATTAGATCTATCGGTTTGTACATCCATACCTCATAAATTCTGCACGTAATCACACGTACAAAAACAAATAGAAATTCTTTTTAAAATATTCGGGGTCATCAGATTGTAATAAACTTTACAATATATGATTAATAAATATAGTTTTATCGAATAAAATATTTTCTAAGAGTTATCTCATTAAAAATGAATTTTAAAAGATTTAAAAACTTTATAAATTATTCAATTTAAAATTGTAAAAAAAATGAAAACAAATTTTGTTAAAATTCATTTTTCGCCGAAAATTTTTTTTTCCTTCAGACAATGTTGTCGTTAATATATATTGTTTATAAAAGCAATTAAAAGCTTTACTAATTAAATGTCTTAGTCTTATTGAGTTTTATTTTTCGTTTCAGAACAGATTTCCGGTAAGACCGGGTTCAATCTTGCCAAAAAAATTCGGAGATTTAAATTCTTCAAAGAATTCTGCTTTTAACTAATATAGTCACTAAAAATTATTTTGTTAAATTTCTCAATTTTTTATAAAAATTAAGTAAGAGGCTGAAGCACATGTAAAAAAAAATATATTTACGAAAATTTTCTAATAAAAATCTTCAAAAATAATTTTTATTTATTTGGGAATAAGTCCTGAAAATCTAATTAAAATCTAACAATTATTTTTATTTTTGCAAGTCTTTCCAAATTAATGTGTCTGTCACCGCAAGAAAAAAGAGGCAAAAATTTGTTTTTCTTGCCTCAGTGGGTGAAAAACTTTTTGCATTTGATAAATGTCATGAATTATTTTGACGATAGAATGGTCAGAAAAAATCAATGTCGAGGAGAGTAAAATTAGGTGAACTAGAAAATGTCTTACTAAAATAATGCAGGAAGGCAGCAAAGTATATCTAGTAGACATGAATTTCTTATTCTATGTGCCCTGTCTGTTCGGAACGTGGGCCATCATGGCCGTCCACAATTTCCTGTCCTTTGTAGCTCTTAGTAATTTTTATCAATTCTTTTATCTCTCCTAAACCTTGCTATTCGTCCATTTACTCAAGCTCTCTAGGTAGGTTATGCATTGTTTTTCTCAGCCCTTCTTGCTTTCAATCTGTCTTGTGGGTATCATAGTTTCCAAACCGTATTTCCTCATTATGTGCTCAAGAAATTTCCTCTGTTTAGGTACTCCCACGTTGTGTAATGTCAATTAAGCTTGTCTTGCTAAATCAATTACGACTGAGTAATGAGTTCGATCCTCAATGGGTGCTCCACACTTTCGGCCTTGTGTCACATCTAAGCTACGCTTAAAAATCATTTGGGCACTTCGACGTGGTGCAATGGTTAGCAAGCTTGCCATCTTTTCTCGCGAGAATTTATTTTACATATTTATAAATTTACCATTCAGGCATACTTCACTGTGTCGTTCTAGATAACTTTTCTCTCTAGAATCTATCTTACATATTTATAAGTACACCAGACGTCCATACTTTGAATATTGCTACCAAATGGTCTGCTGCTTCTGCTATATATATTTAGAGATTCTTGGTAAAATCCAAAGAAGAATCTGCAATGTTATTGGTCCTAGACTGGCATCTCAGCTTCAAGCCTGATTGGGGACCAGGTGTAGTGCTTTTTGCATCTCCCTATCTGATCAAGATTTGCTTTTTCTACCTACATTTATAATCGTTACAAATCAAACTTAGAACAACAATTTAAGGATGAAAAATTTTCGCGGATTCTGACATAATTCTTTTTTTTTTCATCTCGCTACATCAATTACGACTTATACGAATTATAGTGTGTTCGATCCTCACGGGGTGCTCTAAACATGAGGTGGAAAGTAAACTGGAAGGCAAAAGAAAATTTTCCCTTTGTAATCCATCAGGAAGAAAGAATTTCCTCTCAGACAGATTCTTTTTTTTTCTAAGAACCACTTCTTCATTGAACAAACTCCCGTGAGAATGCTTCCCAGATCGCTACAAAGTAATCAAGTCTAGGTTCAAACGTTATCTATCCTGCATATATATTTTTAAACATTTCACCCCAAGCAAGGCGATAATGACGCTAGGATGAAGGGAGTGAAAGAGAATGAAAATATGTGCATAGCAAGGATTGGTCTTAGCAGTGAAGGTTAGAATTGGTGGAAGTAAAGAATGTAGTTCGTCTGAGCACTTTTCATGGAGATAGAGTAGTAAAAGACTTGCGACGTTTCTTCTGTGAGAAAGGGGTTTAAGAATGGAAAATATAATTCATCACCCACAAGGATGCAGAGATGCTTTTGGACTCTATCGAGACTGGAAAGTGAAGACTGGGTAACTCCTGTCTATTTATGGCAGCAGTGCCCCATTTTCAGCCTGATCTGGCTTTTGTAAAAGTAGAGGAGTCAAGTACTTGCTGGACCAGTGCAGGGAACCTTTTTCGCCAACCCAGTAAATTATATTTGAGGAATAGAACTAAAAAAAAAGGTATTGATTGTAGATAATAGAAAAAAAAAAGAAGTAATTGAAAAATGCTGTCCAAAACGACAAAGATAAAAAGTCGATATAAAAATCACGAGTTTTCGATATTATCTACAATGATGGACGAACAAAAGTTAAGAGCAATAAAAAAAACGATTACTAGATAAGTGGTCAAAAATTATCTTCACCAAATATGAACGTTCTAGCAAGATGATTTCAAGCATCTACTTTATTTCAATTGTTTTTTTTTGTTTTTGTTTTAACGTGGGAAAGACTTTGGGGAAGGCGTTATATAGTGAGTTGCGATCAGACACGTATAACTTCTTTTTAACCTTAATCAGCTTTGAACTTGGCCAACTCATTAGGCTAAATCATACTTTCTTTTCAAGATGTACTAATTTGGAGGAATTTGGCACAGTAAATTTGTTTATGAGAACTCTCTGTATAAGTAATTTTATTAACTTGTACTTATTAGCAAGCGGCAACAAAAAAAACAAAAAACGCTTTTACTTAGAATCGGCAGCAATATACAGCGCTTATACTTAAAATCGGAGTCTTCAATTAAGAATGTTAGTTCACTGTGTCGTGCTAGATAACTTTTCTCTCCAGAATCTTATCTTACATATTTATAAGTACACTAGACGTCTATACTTTGAATATTGCTACAAGTTATGGTCTGGTGTTTCTGCTATATATTAAAGATTCTTAATAAAATCCAAAGAAGAATCTGCAATGTTATTGGTCCTAGACTGGCATCTCAGCTTCAAGCCTGATTTGAGACCAGGTGTAGTGCTTTTTGCATCTCCCTATCTGATCAAGATTTGCTTTTTCTACCTACATTTATAATCGTTACAAATCAAACTCAGAACAACTATTTAAGGATGAAAAATTTTCGCGGATTCTGACATAATTCTTTTTTTTCTTTTTCATCTCGCTACATCAATTACGACTTATACGAATTATAATGTGTTCGATCCTCACTGGGTGCTCCAAACATGAGGCGGAAAGTAAGCTGGAAGGCAAAAGAAAATTTTCCCTTTGTATGCCATCAGACGTCCATGCTTTAAATATTGCTACTAGTTATGGTCTGGTGTTTCTGCTATATATTAAAGATTCTTAATAAAATCCAAAGAAGAATCTGCAATGTTATTGGTCCTGGCCTGGCATCTCAGCTTCAAGCCTGATTGAGGGCAACGTGTAGTGTTTTGTGAATCTCCTTCTCTTTTCAAGATTAGCTTTTTCTACCTACATTTATATACATTACAAATTAAAGTTAGTACAACTGACTATGGATGAAAATTCTTCGCGCATTTGACATCATTCTGTTTGTTTTTTTCATCCAAATCCGTGAATTGTTTTTTTTTTTTTTTTTTTTTACAACGAGTTAAACGCGACACTAGTCTTCTATACCCCACCAGCCGTCTGCCTTGCTGTTTTAGCTGAAACCCTAAGCGGTAATAGATGAAAATAACTTTCTCTTTAAAAAGATACAACGGGAAACCTTGATATCACAAGTTTCACCTACACACTTGGTGAAAATAGCACTTACAATATTACGGCAAATTTTCGGAAAAAAATATGAAAATTGAGTAGAGGTGAGGTGGGGGGGCACGGACCCCTTGAACTTGCTCTATTTGGAAAGATAGATGTAGATGTCTTGCGAAGACTTTATGATAAAACAATGATATAATGTCAAATAAGGAAATAGATAAACTATTTACATTATTTTCATTAGGAATAGTATCCTCATCTTTGTTGTTATTATTAGATAGTTTCGGCCGTTGTGCTCTCCGGCCTTCTTTTTAGAATCAATGGAGACAGGGAGAGCAAAAACTGAGAAGTACTAAAGTAAGTACTAGATTGATTGATTTGACTTTTTACGGATTATCAACCATTTTCAGGTTATTTAAAGCCAGAAAATATTTTTAGAATGTAAGAATTTTTAGAGATAATAATGATTTACAGATACAAATCCTACTAATTAACCCATAGCTGTGGGGGAAAAGTGTTAGATTCATGCCTTTTCTAAGGTTATTTGCGCGTAAGTGAATATAACAAACCTAACCGGAATTGAAAACCGGCTCTCCAATTTCCAAATACACCACCCGCACATCCAAGCACCTGGTATTTCTAAGCGGCTATCTATTTAAGTACTGACCAGGCTCGACGTTGCTTAACTTCGGTGATCGTGCGAGAACCTGTTTTTCAACGTGATATGGCCGTAAACCAATAAGAACTAAACGATATATCCCGAGACATAGTGGAACGAGAACAATCCACCTCTGTTGATTAAATAATGGGTTCAGTTTGAAATTACCTGAAGATTACCTTGAGGGACATACACCTGAAGAAGGCCGAGGGGTACAATGATCGAAACGTTGTGATAAGACGAGACATTATCCCGAATTTAAATAATGGTAACTCCTTATCCGAAACATTCATACAGAAATATAGATTCAAATTACTATGGCATGGTCGTGGCTTTTTTTATTGCTAAGATAATTCTAGAAATTTTGTTTTGAGTATATTTTTCTTTGATTCTTAAGGAGCAATGATGCCACCAAAAAATATTTGTAAGGCGTGTCGATGTTTATGAAGTATGGTTAAAATGAAAACACGTCATTAATTTATAAAATAGCGGTGATGAAATGACGAATGATAAAGTGGGTCATTTCCCCGATAGGAGTTGAAAACACGAACGAAAAACTCTATTTACTTAAGCTAAGTACGTTCATAAATTCTTCCTGCTTAGAAAATTGCATATGGCGACATCTCTAGACGCTTACTTCTCAGTCAACAATATGTCACAAGCCATGGTCTAGAAGTGTTTTCTTTTTTAATTAAAGAATATTTCAAAAAGCCTAATTTTTTATTTAAAAACCTCATTGTGAGTGCAGACAGATGTGACACAATTACTAGTGTAGGTTTTACAATCAACTGATATCTGCAATTAGTAGCCAGTTGGAATAGGATTAACTACCTTAAAAATGCCCGCCTTTTCAAATTAAACAATTTGAAAGGCCTGTTTTTTTTTTATCAGGCTTATAGAAAAACAAATTTTATTTTGAAGTAAAAATTGAAAAAAAAAAACACATTTTTCACTGACCATGTTGAGTGATTAAATTGAATCAACCGCTAAGTCCACTGCTAGGAAATTTGGTTCAATGTGTCGTGCCAAACAATTTTCTAGTCAGAATCCATCTTGCACGTTTATAAATCTACCATTCGCACGTGCATTGAATATTGCTGCCACATCTTCTGGGGCCTATGTTATATATCTCGAGATTCTCAGCAAAATTTCAAATAAGGGTCTGTAATATTATCAGTCCTGATCTGGTATCTCGGCTTCAGTTACTTTCTCACTGGCCTGATGTAGCTTCCCTCTGTCTTTTCTACAAATATTTTCCTGGCAATTGTTTTGAAGAGCTTTCCTCCTTGGTGGCTCGATTGAATGAATTTAAGCGTGCTACTGGATTGGCAGTTAGGTCTCACCATTTTACTGATGAACTAGCTAGATGAAACCGTATGTTCTATCCATTCCGATATCTTACTTCCCTGCCACCTCACTAGCAAGGTCTCTGATCGGGAGATTGGAGGTTTTGAGGAGCGTGGAACCACCTCTTAATTGCTGTTGTTCTCAAGTCAACCCTTACCCGGTGTGGTAACACCTGTTAGGGTCCCAACTATGGGCAAGCAGTGAACTCCCAAACAAAAACAAAACACTATGAAAGTATAAAATTACATTTTTATAGAAGGAAAACCAACAATACATTTATATATATATAAGACATTTTTATGTTTATACATTCTTTTCTTAATAGATACAAATATTTAAATAAATGCTCTTGATAATAAACAGTATTAAACAACATTTAGCGGTCTGAATGTCCGAGAAATTGTCATAGAAAATATTCGTCCTCCCACAGGAATTGAACCTGTATCCTATACGGAACCGTCATATAGCCTGGCGTGCTTTTACCGATTTCGCCATAGAGGAGCGTTCGGTTAGCAAGGTCGATTTTACTGTTTTTAAACTACAATCTTCCATGATTTTCTCATGCACATTCATATCTGCTCGATGCATATCCAAATGTAAACAAATGACGTCACACATTATGAAATGGACAAAGTCCGACAATTATTTTAAGATATTTTTATGTTTATACATTCTTTTTATAAACAGAGCATTTACTTAAATATTTGTATCTATAAAAAAGAATGTATAAACATAAAAATGTCGGACTTTGTCCATTTAGTAATATATCTATAAGTCTGTGTGCGTGCGTGTGTGTGTGTGTGTGTGTGTGTGTGAATATATATATATATATATATATATATATATATATATAAATTACCAACAATACTTAGCAACAGTATATATTTATAGTAAAATGACCAGCAGTATATTTTATAGTAGAATTAACAACAATACATTTTATCTGTAGGTTGAAGGCATACAATTGCGTTCAAAATATTTAGATTTCAGCATTAAATAACCCAGAGAGGTTACTAGGCTGCTATACAAAATCAACCAATCAACCCTGTTACCTACAATATTAAAAAAATGCAACGTCAATCACCATCTTATGTCTTTCTGGATCCTATTCTTTTATTCCCTTCTTTACATTTCTCATCACTAAAGTCTCTCGTTCTCTTCCACTCCTGCGTCCTAGTGGCATTAGAGCCCTGGTTGGGGTGAAATGGAAAAAAGATGAGAAAAATTATTTTGAGAAGAAACCCCAGGATTGAGTAAAATGAAAGGCAAATTATGTTTGTATGAGACCCAGATGTCGTCTGGTAGACTTGAGTTAGAGGATAATACTAGTGTATTAAGTCCCGATAAAAATAAGATATTAAAATAAAATATATGAGCAAAATTAAAAAGAATTTAAACTAAAATAAGGCATTTGCGCTTTCCTTTAAAACTCTTATCTCTTTCTTTCTCTCTTTCTCTCTCTAAACTTTTCTTTTTATACTTCTCTCAACTAACGAAAAGGCAACCCTCAAATAAAAAGAGGAGGAAGAAAAGACTGAATTCGGCCGAAAAAACGCTGGAAGTTTGCTGGAATAGTAAACTTATTTGTGACTAAAGAATAAAACATTCAAGGAGGTTAGATGATATTGTTTTAAAATAAGAACTATATTTACTAATCATATATGGAAAAGCTTACTACAATACAACGACCCTCCCAATATTTATAAAAATAAATTTTAATCTATTTTATGTGAGTATAAACGTGTTGATTTTTGTAAATACAAATCTACGAGACATTGTCAGAAAACAAAAGCAGTAACTATAGTAAAGTTACAATTTATTGGTAATTTTCTAACATTTTCTCAACAAGCGTCTTCGTAAGTTAGACTATAAATCCAAAGTACCTACAATTCAATAACAAATTGATTTTAATATCTTCTGAAATTTTAAAGATTACTGAGTAGTTAAAAAAATTATACAAAAAGGCGTTCACGTTATATTCATCAAGTAATTGCTATAATTACGACCACTTATAAAAATTCGCAAACATGTGTCTAGTGAGAATGTTGTCAACACCTCATAAAAACACGCGCCCACGTAATAAAAATATTTTAACCTAAAAGTAAGTAATATTTGTTTCAAATCAGATTAATTAAACTTTAAATCAACTAATCTTGAAATACTTTTTAAATATTTTTTAATACAGATGAGTTGACAGATTTGTCAATATGAGCGGTTTTGTTGTTTTTACTGATAATAAAAAAAAAAAAAAATTCCAATCAATTTAAATTCTGTTTGGAATACAGCAATGTAATTTGTTGATTGGAAATATTATATCTAATCTATTAGCTTGAAATTAAAACTAAAATAAAAGCTTCAAGAAAGATTTTTCAGTTTTAAAAATGCATTTTAAACTTTAGGTATCGCTTTTCTTTGGAGGTACCAACCTGAAAGCCATACATCTGAGACAAACATTTTTCTTAAATTTACACGTTGTATCGTATCTGGGTAGAATATTGAATCGTGAAACCATGAAAATATATTAAGACAGATGAAAGTTGGGCCAAATTAAAAGTTTTTTTTTTTTGTCCCAGATAATATTCTGAGCAATATGCCTGCCATAGTGGTCTTGTACCGAAATAAATCTAACAGTACAAATAAACGAGATTCGTAACCCCAAAACTATCAAAAATATGACAGGAAGCTAAGCTTATCTTATCGAGTCTTATCACTGCTACTACTACTGACTGCCACATTATCTGGATTGCTTAACACTTTATTATTGCTGTTATTAATGTTATTATTAAATGACACTTCACCACGGATGCTCAGTCATCCTCATCTTCTCATAAATATCTTCATCAGTATTGACATCATGATTAATTTAAATAGGTCACATGTTATCTAGTACTAATTTGAAAATAGCTCAAAACAAGCATTCTTCTTCTTCCTCTTCATTTTTCTCCTTTTCTTCCTCATCTTCTTCTTTTACTTCTTCTTCCTCTTCTTCGTAAAGAAGACTTACAGCCATAAAAGATAGGAAGGCATGGCACACACACACGCAAAGAGAGAGAGAGAGAGAGAGAGAGAGACAAGGGAGAGCGAGAGGGAGAGATTATTGATTTAAATAGACCATTCGTCATGTAGCACTATTTTGAAAATAACTCAGAACAAACATTCTTCTTCTTCCCCCACTTCTTCTTCTTCCTCCTCCTCCTCTTCTTCTTTTTCTTTCTCTTCTTCCAAATTTTTTCTTTCACTTTTTCTTTCTTTCTTCTTCTTCTTCTTGTTTCTTTCTTTCTTTCTTTTCTTTCTTTTCTTCTTTCTTTCTTTCTTCTTCTTCTTCTTTTTTCTTTCTTTTTTCTTCTTCTTCTTCTTCATCACTTCTTTTTCTTTTCTTCTTTCTCTTCTTCCACTTTTTCTTCTTTTTCTTTCTCTTCTTCCACTTCTTCTTCGTCATAAAGGAGAAGAATTAGTTACAGTCATAAAAGATAGGAAGTTGTAGAGAGCCATGATCGCTCACGTCTTTATTAAGCGTAAAGATGCAATAGTTACAGTTATACTTGTGGTGGTTCGCACAATTTTGGGCGAGTGATTAGAATGTTAGTATTCTGGCCATGAATGTCGAGTTCGAATCTCACTGCGGTCGATTTGTCAAGGAGGTGATTTCATAATAATATCAGCCGTGTTCGAAACTATTCAGAAGCCGTCAATTATTGTGCAAGCACAAATTCACAAGTCATCGTGACC